TGCATCTTTAGTATCATAGAAAGGTCAGAACCACAGTAACTTAATACATATTTACAAGCTAGTAAGATGTGACAACTTCACTCTGCTACTGATTACCGGTAAGCAGAAATGACCTCCTATTGGAGTCTATGGACAATAGATAGCCAATACTTATAGTTATTCCTCACATGATGCTACAATATGCAGTTTGGGATCTTGACCAAACACATAGCAAAATACATTTTTATAAACCCCATTGGGATTAAGTTCATTCACTGAAGAGCAGATCTTTTTGATAAAACTAAAGTTGGCCTTTTCTCTTTAAAATTTATTAAGATAAATTTTACAGAAATTAGGGGGGTTTGAGTGATAACATAATAAACATGTCATCATCATTCTTCTACCCACTCACAAATGAATAAGAACATCTGAAGTGTAGTACGTCAGGACATACTAAAGTACTTCCATGGCTCCCTTCTGCCTGGAGCTCAACTCAGACTTCAAAATTTGGATACTGTATTGGTGACTTTTGTTGCTGAGATAAAATGCCATGACCAAGGTAACTTGAAGAAGAAAGAGATTATTCAGGCCTATGGTCCCAGAAGAAGAGTCCACAATGGTAAGGACATATGGCACCAGGAATGGTAGCAGGATCAGGAAGCAGCAAGATCATATTCCTATCTACTAGCAAGAAATGAGCAGAGCAAATTACAAAAAAGGTGAGTGGGACGAAGCTTTTAACTTTCAAAACTGACCTTCCTTCAGCAAGACTCCACCTCTTAAAACTTCAAGAACTTTCCCCAAATGGTGCCATCAACTGGGGACCAAATGTTCAAATTTCTGAACCTATGGGGGACATCCATCCTTCAAACTACCACAAATATGTTCTAACATAAATCTTCACTATGTGGATGATCTTTTGGCAAGTCTATTCTCAACTATAGCCTTGGATTTTTAATCTCTAATGACTATCCCCACTACCTAATGCAAGTACTCATTTTCAAGAACTCAGCAAAGATGCTGAAGTAGCCTAGTGTACATTTGAATTCATGTTAAATCTGAGTTCCCAAACTTGCTCATTTTGTGACCCTGCACAAGTGAGTTGACTACACCTTCACTTCTCCTAATGTGAACTTAGGTGGAAAGTGTCTCCAATAATGCCTGATATATATAGTTGGAATGTGATGGATAAATTAAAATCCCTGCAGAGGATTCATGTAAACAGCTTTCGTTTCTCCTGACAAATGTTCAGGAAAGTAAAATATGGGTTCCACAGAGAATCTGTTCTTGGTTCGTTTTGTTTTAACTAAGAAATTGTGCATCCATTTCTCAGAAAGGCTGTCCTATATTATAGTCCCATTTGAAATGTATGACATATTTGAGTTTTTGTATACCCTCATTGCCATTTTGAATTCTCATTAGTTTTTACCTAGCTGTTCTGTTGAGTATATAATAATATCTCATTTGGGTCTTATTTGTATTTCCCTAATGGCTAGTTATCCTGAACAATTTTTAATCTCTTCCTTGCCATCTGTACATACAGTTCATGACTTTTACCTAATCAAATAATTAGAATGTTTGATTCTTTGTGGTTGGCTTTGAGAGTCCTTTATTCTAGATCTGGATCCTTTGCAACTTGTTAGCAACATTGATAAAAATCCAATCAACTGATTTCTTTTTTTCCTTTCTGGGTTGTACTTTGGGCATCACACTGAAAACCTCTTCAAAAAGTCCAAGGGCCTAAATACTTTCTCCTATGTAGTTTATCAAAACTTCATCTGCAACTGAATATTCCAATTTTTTGCTACTTATTTCGCTTCTTTTTACTCAATCAATTTTGAGTTGACCTTTGCACATGCTATGAAAATTGAAGTTCACTTTCATTACCAATGTATATTTGATTTCCCACAGAATATCTTTCTAAAAATCTTTGCAGTACTTGTAGATTTAACTTGGGGCCTGATTTATGTAAGACAAGTGCTCTCCCACTGACCTACATCCCCAGTCATTTTTTTTACGTTTGTGAAAAATAATTTATCCAAACATTATAGGACTATTCACACATTCTTTATTTGGTTCCACTGGTCAGTGTCTGTTCATCTGTTCAATGTATACTATCTTAGGTTTTGAATATCATAACCATTAATATCAGTAATGAATCTCTGTTTGTTCCTTTTCAAAATTGTGTTAGCTTTTATAGTCTCCTTTATATTCCTCTTAGTATAAGCCTGTCATTACCTACAAAATATTCAGTTGAACTTGTCATTGTTTTAAACACACAGATCACATTGGAAAGAAATGATATCATTACTATGTTGAGTATTATACTCACTGAATACACTGTGCTTCTTAGTATACCTATATTTTCTGTGAATTCTCTTGTCAGCATTCTGTAGTTTTAGCATGTAACTCCAATAAATGCATTGTTAGGCTTCTCTTCAAATTTTTCATTTCTTTTGAGTGGAAATAACAAGCCACTTTTTGAGTGGATATAAGGTTCACTCCATGAGATGATACCCCTATTAAAAGCCAAATACCTGAGACTACATAAATAAGTCAGTTTATGGAAAACATACTAGCATTTTTCTGTGCTAAAGGAATGTATCAATAAAATGACCCTGGTGAGATATCACTAAACCCACAGATTATTGCCTCATTCAGCCTACATTAGAAAAGCAATAAGTGGGAGTTAACACAGAGACACACAAGTGGACAGTGCAGAGAGTAAGAGACTTTGGAGCACTGAGAGTGGGGAGTGGACAGAAAGCCCCATCCATAACCAAGAAACTATTTGTAACTGATACCTTCTGGGAAAGGAAAAATTAGCTTTCTCCAATGGAGTGTCATTGGGTATATGAGCAACACTCCAGGGCAGGCCAGGTAGCCAACACAAAGAGAAGTACAGTTTTTGTAGGCATTTTAAAATTTTTCTTTTGGTTTACCAGTTTTTCGTCTCACTGGTCTCTTGTTTGATTTGAATGCATTTTTGGTTTTTTGTGCTTGTTTGGAAAGAGAGAAGAAAGAAAAAGAAACTGAAATTGGGTTGGTTTAGATGTGGGGAAGATATGGAGAAAGTTGGAGGAGGGGAAAGTCATGAACAAGATACAGCGTACAACTAAATACACAAATAAATAAATAATACAATTTAAAGAATAAACTAAAGTAGCTTCTAATTAGTTCCCTACTTATGTGTCTGTCCACTATAGCTATTTTTCCCACATCATCCAAAATAGTCCTAAGAAAAATAAGTAAAATTATGTCAATACCCTGCTGAAAATCTATTTTTTGTAATAGTCAGAAAAGCCAGTCTTCCCAGTAGATTCTAAGTCCTACTGCTTCCTTTGTTTTTTTTTTTTGAACCTGTCTTCCTCTATACCTTCCTATTTCCTATGCCTAAACAAGACCAAAAGGGTGTATAGATAGATGGATGGATGGATAGATAGACTGATGGATTAATTAACCACTAGATAATTCCTAAAGGAATAACATTGGATGTGGGACTATCACATAGGTGGCTATAATCCTCTTTGAACTTCAAATGATAAGTATCAGAAAGGCTACGAAAAGTTGTTAAGGTAAAACAGACAATGTCCGAGAACACTAGTTATTTCCTTTTTAAATCTTAGCTGGGAATGTGCTGTTGATAAAGTGTTTACTTTACCCCCCTGAAACAGCAGAGTGTCATATGCCTTCCATCCCAGCACTTGGGAGGCTGAGCAGATGAACTACACCTTCAAGGCCATTTTGGACTACATAGCAAGATCATGGCTTAAAACAACAACAATGAGGATGACAATGATGATGACAACAAATGAATGGATGTGTAAAAGGAAGGAAGGAAAGAAGGAAGGAAGGAAGGAAGGAAGGAAGGAAGGAAGGAAGGAAGGAAGGAAGGAAGGGGAAAAGAAAAAAGAAGGAAGAAAAGAAAGAAAGAAGGAAGAAAAAGAGAGAAAGGAAGAAAGGAAGGAAGAAGGAAAGAAAGACAGACAAACTACCTTCTTGCCTTTCTTATCAGTGAATATGATTGTGAGACTGAATTTTAGACAATGAAATGTAATAAAAATTATGTCTAACTCCCAGATCATAACCTGAAAGGTAAGTGTTATGAACTCTCTCTGTTTTTCATTCTTTTCGATAGCTAGGATGTAGATGATGAATGACCACTGTGGAAAAGCAGGATATTAGCCTTCTCAGAGCACTAAGAAAGAGAAAACAAGGAAGCTCGATTATATCAAGTCACCTTAGCTGGATTATGTTACAACCAAGAAATAAACATCTCTTATATTGCTGTATGCTCTATTTATGTGCAGCATCTCAGCACCTGAGCTTGTATCATACCTATATAGCTTACAAGTGACCAAACTTGGACTTCAACTGTGGATTGGCTCAGACTTTATCAGCTTCCACAATCCAAATAGGGTTCTTATTAAATAAGGAATCTATTAATAGATGAAATGCTAGGTGTTCGATTTAATGTTAAACATCACTGTGGCCAAGTTTAGTGGTACAGGCTTATAATATCACGTACTTGGGAGGCTGAGGCAGAAAAATCATAACTTCAAGGCCTGCCTGGGCTACAGAGTAAGTGCAAGGGTGATCTGGATGTCTTGGTAAGACTCTGTCTCAAAATAAAAAGTGAAAAGGGGGCTAGAGGATAGGTCAATGATGGAGTATTTGCTTAGCATATACAAAGCCCTAGTTTTAATCTATAGATCTTCAAAAAAACATGTCAGTGTGTTACAGTGGGATTTCTTTTCACTGTCAAATTAAAACAAATAATAAGATGCACAACACTGTGTCCGTGATCCCAAGAGTCTGCAGGCTAATTCGGAAGGATGACTAACATTAGGCTGTTCTACATGACACGCTGAGTGCTAGAATAGCCAAGCCTTATAGCATATTTTCCTTTAAAAATCTAAAGAACAGAAAGAAGGAAAAGAGAAAAGGAGGGATAGAAGCATGCAGATGGAAAAACACAGCTAAACGGGACAGAAGAGATAGTAAGGACAGGGAATGATTACCTTGCCAAAGTGTTCAATCAGGATTTCTACCACAATGTTCTGGAATTTGATGTTCATCATAGCAGCCACAGTGTCCTCTTGAGCTCTCATCAGGGTGGGCCCAAAGATTACCCCCATATTGGAAGGTGTCATAAGATTCTCTTTGCTGTGCTCACACACACTGCAAGAAGAAAAAGAAAATGATGAAAACAATTCATTTTTTCTAGTAACTGGGACTATGCTAGGTGATAATGGAGATAAGAGACACCCAAAGGTAGGAAAGGAGAGGCCTACAGTATATATGGAAATGATAAGAAAATGGGAGTAATTAGCAAACAACACATTGTATATGGGTAGGAGCCAAAGTGAGAGATTAGAAACTGGGCTAACAACTGCGAGGAATTTGGAGATAGATGCGGAGGTAGTAAAGGGTGTGGGGAGGGAGGAGAAAAGCCTGGGTGCATGCAAGGCAAGGGGAACAGCAGGTCTAATGAACAGCAAAGGAGATTAAATGTACCCAGAGCTAGAGGGCTCTCCTAGCACTCCATTTTTCTTCCTTAAAGAGCATCTGTGGATAAAGGACCTGCTAGTCATTCTACTGGGGAATCTGGTCATTCTAGTCCCACAATTTAAGAAACAGAAACCTCAAAGAGCCAAAAAAGACCCTATGGTTGATCATTACTTGATTGTCTTCTTCATCTTATAAAACAAAAGAAGATGGAAAACTATCTTCCTGGAACCACAATTGCTGAGCAAGGGAGGAAGTAGGTCCTGCAATCTGATTGATAGATCTCCTCACTCTGCTTAAAGTCTCATCACTGGCTCATGATCATTTATAGTAGAAGGCAAAAGCTCTTTCAAGAGAATAGTTAAAGCCTTCTGTGATTTGCTTCCTATTTCTAATAACTATGTATATCCCAGATTCTACAGTTAACTTCAGTTTGGATCTCAACAGTGCCACTCACAAGGTACACAACAGAGAGTATTAACTCCCACCTCTCTGACCTTCAGTTTTCCAACCTGTATAAATTGTATCTTCTTTACAGTAGTAGAAAATAAATAGTGGGAAAATTTCTCCAGCATGCTACTCCCCAGTGCTCTGGTCTTTCTAAGAACCAGCATTGCTAGCCTTTGACAAGGGTTCCACCAGACTTCTTCGATTAGGATTTTCTGGCTATATCATGGTTATCTCTTTCTCTTGAATGTTCCCTATTCCATAGCTAAAGAACGTCTAATTGTTCTTGAAGATTTATTTAAGGAGACAGATCATCTATCCCCTTACAGGTGGCCACAGCTCACAGTCCTCATGCTTTTAAAATGCCTCTATGGCTTTGTTTCCTGAATACGAAGAAACATTTTTTCAGAAGGAAAAGGTGGCAATCCTGGAAGACAGCCTTTCTTCTGGGTGGGAAGAAAACAAAGGATTCTTAGTTCCCCCTTTCTCCTGCTTTCTTAAAAACCTCTTTTCAATTTTCCATTTCTTTTCTCTCTTTTTTATTGGATATTTTATTTATTTACATTTCAGATGTCATCCCCTTTCCCCATCTCCCCTCCCTAGAAACCCCTATCCCATCCCCCCTCCTCCTTTTTGCTTTTATACCATTTTAATTACGTGCAAGTATTAAGGTCAATTCTAGGTTGAGGAACTAGCAATATAATAGATGCAAATAGTCAAAGAATAAAACATAATCACACCATTTCCCTCTTCCCTTTCTTCCCATACCCTGCTTACCCCCTCTTCAATTCATGTCCTTTTCTCTTTGATTTTTCTTGTTACACATAAACATATAAATTTATCAACACAACCTGCTGAGTCCATGTTGTGTTGCTCGTGTGTATGTGAGTTCAGGGCTGAGCACTGGGTACTGTCCTCAACTTAACTGATGCTACTGGCAAGAAGACTACATTGCAGCTTTCAGTTTAATTAGCTGCTTCTTCTACTAGGTGGTAAACAACTTCCAACTGTGTTCCTGGCACACAACAGTTACTAATTCATTATTTTTATAGGAACTGAACTCCACTAAAGCTCTTTTAAACTACTAGAGGCAGGCAAGTGAAAGGCATGCAGTCCTTTGGCCAGTATGGCTGTGCGGGTGTAGAGGTTAGAATAAGGGGCGGGCTAGCTGCCCATTCAAACTACAAATAACCCAAACCCACTCATGCCAAAGGCCCTGAGAGACTGACCCAGTGACAGGCAAGTTCTTGACACTAAGTGGGTAATTAAGGGGGATAGAATTCTTAGACCAATCTTTATAATAAAGTCTCTTAAGCCCTTAACAAAGGCTGGGTGCCATTCAGATGGTAATGAGCTGCCAGCACTCAGGCCTTTGATATTTCTGGCTGCTGATCAGTCCTTTTCAACAGTTTAAATGCCTCTGCAATTAACCTTTATTCTTTAGTGACAGAATTTGTTCAGTTATTAAAATAGAAAAGAATCCTCATGCTGACACCAAGTGATCTCCAAGAGTTAAACCACTACCTACTAGGCAAGAACCTGGACATGAGATTTCTTCAATACCAGAGCAGTTCACTGAATGTTCATAACTGCAAAAAGAAGCATATTTTTATTCTGAGGCTCCGGGATTAAGCACCTAGGGTTCGGATTTGGAAAGGCAGGTTTGATTCGAACCTGTATTTGTTGGTATTCAAGTGTAATCACGTTTCCACTGCATCTTACTGCCTGCTTCTGTGGTTCCACTTGGAAACCAGAAGCTTCTAAGGGAGGATTTGAAGCTGAGCTTACATCTACTGCTCTGAAGGAGCTTCCTGCTTTCCCATTTAGGATATTTGCCTTACGTGGCCTTCTAATGAAATCCGGGGTGATTTCTTTGCAAGTGTCACCTCTCCTCTAACTATACACTGTTTGTACCACAAGAGATGGACACTAGAGCCTCATCCACATTAGGCAAGCTCTCTATCATTGAGCTACACCAAAGCCCTATACATTTTTCCATGTGTAACCATTTTTAATGCACACATTTTTTTCTTTCATTTTAGTTAAAATATTTGTATTCTTTAAGAAGGGGATAACATCTGAACTGTAAATAAAATATTCAATAAAAAATTAATTTCAAATAATTTCCATACAGTATATTTTGATTAAAATTACACTCCACTGACTGCTCTAAATTCTCTGCACCAATACAAATTCCTGTCCCTTTTTTGTTTTTAAATTTAATAACCTATTTGACTCCAATTTGTGTTGTTCATCTACTCCTAGGGTGTGGGGCCATCTACTGGAGTGGGTAGTCCTACTGGGAGCCAAAATCTTAAAGAAAACCATTTTTCCCTCCCCTAGAAGCCATGAGCTTCCCATAGCACCAAGGTAGGGGGATCACTAATGAACCCCTTGTCCATCCATGTCCCTCCATGCTAGAGTGTTGGCTGGTTTGATCATGTGCAGGGAGTCATAGCTGCTGTGAGTTCCTAAGTACAGAAGCTCTGCCACATTTTATCACTCTCTTGCTCTGTTCTTCTCCAACGCTTATCATCTTTCTGCTACAGTCCCTGCATCTTGAGGAGGCGGCAATAAAGATGTGAGTGGACACTCCATTGGCATGTATTCTCTGCATTTTGACCAGTTGTGAGTTTCTATATTAACTACTACCTATCAGCCAAAAAGAAAGAAGAGTGCACTAGGTCTGTAGTCCTAGCTACTGGGGAGGTTAGGGTAAGGGAATCATTTGAGCACAAAAGTTTAGAGTCAGCCTGCAAAATGTATCGAGATTTTATATGCAGAAGTAATGAATGATGTTCAAAATGATAAATGAAAAAAGTGGCTTGAAGAATGATGATAGATACACTGGGAGGTACAATTTATGTGCAAAAGCGCAAAATACAGAGGTTCCTTAAGATGTGTATATTTTGTATTTCACTAATCTCACTGCATCATGTTTTGCTTTATTTGCAAGGACTAGAAGAAATGGCTACAACTTCAGCATCAGAATTAATATTTAACTAAACTGACATAGCATAAGACTGCCTTCTAAATATGTTTATAATCCATAGACAAATACTACTCTCGGCCTTAATTAATGAGAAGCCCCTCTCTCTCTTTCTAGGGAATAGGGGTGAATGCAGAAACCTATGACCACAAGAACTGCTGCAAATTAGTGACAGTTAAGGGCTGATCCCAAAACAAAATATCAATACCATCCCCTCTAAGGCTCAAAGACTATTGAGGAAGAGGGAGTGGAAAGAATGTAAGACAGAAGACAGGAAAGGGGGATTGTGAAATGCTATCTTCTGGGCAAGAAACAGCTATTGCAACCACAAACTCATAATAACTGGGGATGTCTGCTAGGAGTCTGCTCAAAAATGACCTTGTCTTTGTCAGACAAAAGTGAGAGGGAAGTCCCCCAGGGCCCGATCTATTACTGATGAACTATTTGCTACTGATATAATTAGGGAGAGGATAGTCATATCATTAGTTAGGCACTCACTAGTGACCCCACAAGCTTCAGTGGATAGTCCCAGTCCAATGATTACACATATGGCCCTAGTTAAGCACTTGGTCCATAAAACAACCCCAAAAGTCATTAATCTGGGAAAGAGACCAGGATGTGGAAGGGGTGGGAAGATGACAGGCATAAGAAGGATGGCAAAAGAAGGCATGGATAGCATAATCAGAATGTATTACTAACATGTATGAAATGTCAAAGAATTAAATTAATTAATAAAAATTTCAAAAGAGAAGAATGAGTATTTGAAGGAGGTGGTGATACCCTGCATTGTAGAAGACAGTAACTCTCTTCAATAGATTTGAAGAAATAAGTTGAAATGACTTGGGGAGCCAAGAGGTGATGTAAATGAGATATATTGGCCTAAAAGTAGTGGCTGTTCCCTTTAAACAAGCACAAATTGTCTAAATCACCATGGTAACATTCAATGATAGTTCTTGCTTTATAAAATGACCTTCATCAACTCTAATCACTACAAAAGAGTGAATGGAAAGAGTGTAAGAGCCAGAGGTGATGGGTAAGTTCAAGGAGAAAGTGTCCTCCTTACATGACAGGGCAACTACAAATATGAATTCACAATGGTTGTGACATCAAGCATAAGACATGTTCAAGCCCAGGATATACCAAATCCCAAAATGGATAAGTGACTTTGGCATAAAACCTCACTCCTCAATGAGGAGCTGTTGGCAACTGTCAGTTGCTAGGAGTTGAAGGATCAGAT